TCAGTCACATTATAATTGAATTCAATTTCAAAATTTAAATCAAAAAATTCAGAAATGCTTCCTTTATGAAATATCATTCGAATTTGACAACAGAAACATTCATTTCGACAAGGAGTTTGTTCATCATCTCTAAATTTTTTAAATTCTACAATATAATCTAAACGATTTGTAAAAGCACTAAATAATTTTGTATTATTAATTTTTCGTTCAGATATAGGTTTTAACTTTTCATCTTCTACAAAATCATAAATAAATCTAATATTCGTATTGGCCGAAAATCCTATTACTTTTGGACAAAAATTTTCACTTCCATGCTTTTTTTGTACTGAATAATCTTTGCAATCTAAAAGATTTAATAACTGTAAATATCTGATTTCTCCTTTGAATTCATTTCTTCATAAGAACTTGAATAGCCCTCCCAAAATTTGCCATCATCGTTACATCGTTCATATGCATTTGGAAATAATAATGAAAAAAGATAGCCTTTGCCTACTCTACTTTCATTGCTATAAAAAAATATAGTGCAGGGTTTCCAACATCTTTTCATTGTTCTTTTTTTTATATTTTTTTTAGCTTGCCGAATAGTAGAAAAATTTTTTGGATTATTAGACCACTGAGCTGAAAATTCTTTAGCATATTCTACAATAGCCTCATCAGCAGACAAATCGTCTTCATCATCAAGCATCCTAGTTATGATTTCGTGAGCAATCTTGGTAGTATTTTTATTATTTTTTTCTTCAGTAGTATTTATATTTTGTTCATTAAAGACCCAAAGAAAAGGGCCTGAACTTTCAGGATCTTTATCAATTCATGCATAAAATCATTCACAAGATTCATCACATTTCTCACATATTTTTGAAAGATCAAAAAAATCACATTTACATTTTCGATGTTGTAGATTCTTACAACAATTATAATTTTTGCTCGTATATACCAAGCAATGCTCTTCTGTACCATTGGCAAAATCTATATGCAGATTTGCTTCAAAAATTTTTTTTATGCCTGAACCTTTTTTTGCTACAGAATCCCATGAACCAACAGCTAATTGTTTACCTTTTTTAAATCTTGCATATCCTTGTGCATGATATTTATCAGGATCTTTGGAGTTATGATTTGATTCAAATTGAAATTGCAATTTATCAAATTGACAATCTTTGGTGTTAAAATAGTCAGTAATAAGTTGTTTAATAGTATCAAGCCCCTCATATAGAGTAAAAAGAAATTGTCTAGAACGCGATTGCGAAGTAATTTTAGACATTTTATTAGATTACATATTAAAATTTCTACTAGGTATTAAAAATACTTAAAAATAAATACAGAAAATGCCGTCAGACCAAAAAATGCATTTTACGCGAAAATTTATTAAGTCAATTGACTTTTTGTCATTAATAAAAGTTGTATAATTGACAAAATAATGCTAGTTTCATAAGACCACTTTTATTATTTTATTAATAAAAATTTGAGATATTTGACGTTTACGGTTACATGAACATTTTGATCTGCAAAGCTCATACGAAAACGCTTCATCAAAATTTGGCATCATTTCGCGAATATTTATCCGTTTGACCTGAAATTTTACAGGCAAATCCGCGAAAGTCATCTGCACCAACATCATTATTCGCGTTTCGTATGTTTACTTTGAAGAAAAAAATTTTTTATTAATATGCTTCGTATCAAAAACGTACACGAAAGAGAATTTTACATAGAAAAATTGCCGTTAACACGATTTCCCCCAAAATTTACTATGATGATCGTGTTTTTGTTACTAATAAAAGTTGTTCTTTGGCTTAAAAAAATGTTAGTTTCATAGAACGACTTTACATGTTTCTCTAACAAAAATCTCGGGTTACTTAACTTTGAAACTGGGGTGTTGAGTAAAAAACGTAGGTCTTTAATTTTTACTTCACAAGTTTTTGTCCGTTTTACATAGGGAGAAATCAACTTTTGTTAATAACATAAAGGTATAGAAACCTAAAAATTCAAAACAAAATTAAATATTTAATTTCTGAATACAGTTCGAAGAACTTTTGCATTCAAGTTGAGATTTTATCTGAGCTAAACTCATGGAAAATTGGGTCTTTATATAGATTGTTATTCGGCTAAAAGTTTTTCCTAAATCACATGATGATGACTCAAAATTTCGGAAAATGTTTTCCGAAGTCACGTATTGACTCAGCATTAAAAAAAAATTAGGCCGGTGAGTTGAATTTCTTAGGCCAAAAAAAAAATGACTCACCAGAATTAGCTTAATTCGGGCCGGTGAGTCGTGAGTCGACTATAACCTGAAAAAAAAAAAAAATTAATTATAAGATTAACTCAGGTCAAATGATTTGACGCACTATATATGAAGAGACAATTTATTTGATGTATATAAATGTACTTATTTTTACTATATAACATTATTATAATAACATTAGTAGACGTTTGGTAATACTATGCAAATAAGCCAATTTGGTCAAGTAGATTTCGAGAAACATTCGCTAGAAGTTTTGAAAAAGCTTGAAATATCTTAGAAAAAAAAATCTAAAATCAGCAAATTTTTTCTCTTTGAAATTTTAAACGATGATTTCTCAACACCCAGATATCCAAATTCAATAAAATTTTTTTTATTTTGATTATACAAGTATCTAGGATTAAAATAAAAAAATTTTTACCGAATTTGAATAGACAGATGTTGAGAAGTATCGATTAAAAGCTGAAAAAAAATTTGGCCGCAGCTTTCTTTATTATGGATATCTAAACTTTGAACGAAGATAACTCGGCTGTTACATAATCGAATTCGATCAAAAAAATTTTTATTTTACTTCAGTGAGATAATAGAATTAAAATAAAAAAATTTTGATCGAATTTGATTATGTAATGACCGCGTTATCTTCGTTCAATGTTTAGATATCTGTAATAAAGAAAGCTGTGGCCAAATTTTTTTAAACTTTTAATTGATATTTCTCAACATCTGTCTATTCAATTTCAGTAATTTTAATTCTACCTATTTGCAGAAACAAAATAAAAAAAAAAATCATTGAATTTGGATAGATGGCTGTTGAGCAACCATCGATTAAAGTTTATGTAAATAATTTTATTACAACATTCTTTTTCTTAAATTTTTTTACAAAACTTTAAAAGATGATTTCTCAACACCCATGTATCCAAATTCAATGA